TCCAGATCCGCTGCCGCCAATCGTCACGCATGGAGAGGTAACGTTCGTGACATCATCGAGGCAGGCTAGATCAGTCATGATCACAGCCGTAACAAGAAAGTACAAGGGTTCGACTCACGCCGACGCTGCCAGTTTTTTCACAATTAGGTCAACTAAATTAACAACTCTTTATTCGAATAAAAGTTATATCTGGGATAGCACTGCGCTGTTGTCTACGGTTGGATATGATACAGAAAGAAACTTGATGAACTGGCTGTGTGGTCGAGTAAGTGGCTCCTGACATTTAAGATATCCAAATATGTAGTCCTCCGTTTGGAATCTGGGTGGAGACGTCTCCCCAAACACCAGTACTATCTAAATGAGACTCTGCTAGAAGAAATAGAGCACACATAAAGATCTGGATGACAGGACAGTATGAAACCTATTGAACTTAGAACATTTTAAAAGAACCGTCCAAAAGGTGACGAGCATCATGCATTGGATCAGGCGTGCTTTCATATTGTTTCCACCCCAACTGTTTGCGCAGCTCTTCGGTACTTTCGTTAGACCGCATTTGGAATACGGAGTGCAAGCATCGATGCCGTGGATGAAGAAAGACAGTGATCTCATCAAGCAGGTGCAACGACGGACAATAAAACTGCTGAGCGGTATTAGGACTCTGTCTTATCGTGAAAGGCTGATTAAGTTTAACTTGTTTCCCCTATCCTATAGACAATTGAGGTGCGACCTGCTATGGACATTCCGTACAATGCACGGGCATTCTTGTTTGCTGAAATCTGAAGATTTCTCTGATTTTAAAAACAGGACTCAGCTGCGCGGCCAGCCGTACAAGGTCAAACGTGAATGTACACTCCTAGGTACACGTAAGTTTTCCCTCAGTCAGAGGATGGTCCGACTGTGGAACTCTGCTCCAAGCGAAATAGACACATCGGATACTGTTGTTGTGTTCAAATAATCGACGACTTTCGCTGCAGGATTATGTCTAGCCAGCCATGACCTTTACATTATGATTTTAAATCAAATGTATCACACCGCTTTATCTTTGCTATAACAATGATCAAGTCAACCTTGCACTGGCTATGTTTCATGCTGTGCATATCATTGCAATTTTAACCCAACTGTAAACTTCTAGGGTCATCAAGGGGTAACGCCCGTAACTCTCAAAATATACATGTATATTTTTGACATAGATACTAGCTAAAATCCCAGACATGTGTTTCGCTGATGTTTCTGCTACTGTATAATACAGCAAAAAGAGGTTCAGCGCCTCAGTGGGTCCCCCAGTGATCTCCTTGTGGTTTCTGGTATATAACCTTCAGATAACAATCAAGGAAATAGTTGTGAAAAGAATTAGTTGCATGACACGGAAGGGAGTGACCGGAAGCCAATCAACTACTGTTGAATAACCTCGCAATGTCCATTCTACGAACAACTATTACTAAAAGGAGTTCGAATCCTGTATGGCAATGATGTTATGCCGTACTCACGACGTAGGCGCCAGCTAAAAGCCCAAACATCTGTTTTGCCTGTTTCGGATTCAGTTCCACCGTCGACTCTGACAATTTCCACTGCGTGCTCCACAACCTTATGATGCAGTGACGGTGACTTACGCGTGGATCCTTTTAAAAGGATAATCAGCTTGCGTTGCATCTATCGCACTCTCTCGTCCATCGCCCGTTAATGTCAGTACAGACCCAGGAAGGAGGCTGGAGTAGGTGATAGACGCAGGCGTAGCTACGCCAGACTCGGAGCGGGTGTGCCATAAAGGTCAACTGTAGCCGTTACGGCCTGCACTTGAACCTAAGCGTGCCACCAACGCCCTCCCCCCCATCTTCGGAATCTATTATAGAAGCGCAGCCTGAATAACCTCTGCCGTATCCTGATCTAGCCCCCAGGTTGGTCCCGTGCCTCTATCACGCGGCCCGTTTAGTAATCAAACGCATACAAGTAGGTCTCTGCCGACGATAAATGACCCTGAGGGGAGGTTTGAGAACGTACGCAGTATGTTAGTCGAAAATTTCTTCAAGTTAGTCGGAGTAACCTCAATAGAAATCCCTTTAGTCGTTTTAAGCGTCATTTTTGCATGTCCTTTGCGGTCGCTGATATACTCTAAATGAACTGCGTCCAATACAACATCGACTTCTGTGGCAACGGCAGACTGGAGCCATGCAGCTGACTATATTGCATTTCAGACAAATGGTAAACACCACCGACTTACTCTCATAAGCACACCACACCAGCTCCGTCCCGGCCACCTTCATTTCGTCTAGAATCTTTGCTTCTTCCGAAGCAAGCTGTCATCAACCGGGCCACCCAAGAATGGGCTTCCTTCTTTTGAAATATGAGGCATCTGGAACGATGTTATTTTGGGAGAGCCTTGGGTGATGGCTGTTGAGGGAAGTTCTTTGCAGGGCATTTGACATGCATATTCTCGTGTAGGCCCAATCTAAAACGAAACCAAACGCCTCGTGCTGCTTCCTCCAGGCTGGCCGGGGAATTACGGCAAAGCCTTCTGGCTCCCGGTTTTAGCAATGTGGAATAAAGCGCCGTCTACAAGCCATGCATCCGTGGTATGCCATGGCGCAAAAACCCATACCATCTAGATGTATGCGACAGAAATCTTGCAAAGCGGCGCGCCTCTAATGCATCCATAAAAGGAAATGCGGAATTTTACGACTGGGAGTTTTAAAGGAAACCGTTTGGCACTGCTGCGCTCTTAACTGAATGGCCTTTTTTTGAGAGGAGCAACTACGAGACAGAAGTTAAGCT